TCTGCGGCTGGCCCAGCTGCAGCTGGGGAAGGGCAGCCCTAAATTAGGCCCAGAAAAACGGAGTCATGCCATCACTGCTGGAAACCCTCACACGTGGAGACTATTGCTGCCGGATGCATCCTGCGGCGGGCTCTATGCGTGTGCTCTTGAGCAGCGTATCCGGGTGCCGCCGTTATTGCTGGCTCCTCCTGAGGCAGCTCTGGGAGGGCCGTGTTTCAAGTTAGCCAGGCTGCCTGTGTCACGCAGGCCCCAGAGAAGGTTTAGTTTTCATTCTGTCAGGCCAATATTAGTAATTAAGGAAAAAAAAAATTAAATTGAAACCCGCTGCTTAGAAGTGAGCCATGTTTCCTGTACCAACACTTTCTCCCTCTCTTATTTTGGTAATGTCTTAAATAACTCTTTGCAGGCAGTCGTTATTGGCTGTACTTTTCAAACAGGATGGAATAATAAGCACTTGTAACTTAATCAGCTTTATAACTGCAGAGTGGGGTTTTTTTTTCCAAATACTTTTATGTCCCATAATGAGCTAGTCCCCTATAACTCCTCACAGTAACATCTTCCATATGCCTTTTGTTGGGAGGATAAGAGCTTTATTCCGGAGTCCAAAGCAAGTTACTGTGGGTACCAATAAGGCCTGGAGTCTTTGCTCCAGGCAGGATGGCAGCACGTTGGGTACCTGAACCTTCTGCAAGTGGCTTGTGGGGAGGCCTTGGCAGGGCCTCCTACGGATCCTTCTGGACTCTACAGAAGGATCACTGAGTGTCCTGTCCATGCTTCCAGTTAAGAACCCTGTGTTCCTGGTCTAAACAACAGTCCTGGTTTTTAAATCCTGCTTTTCTCAGTGTCCTTGTTCTAAAAACCACTGACTTCCCCCCAGGTCTTAAGGCAGACTAGACGTGCGAGGAGCCGAACCATGAATGTCAAGCCAGCCGAGGGAACGGTCTGCTCTTATCTCCTCGAGGTGCCTCCTCTAGTGCCTCGTGTAGAGCAGAGGTCCTGCTGTGGATGTGCTCGGCTTCTAGGGTCCTGGCAGGACAGAAAAACGACCTGTTGATGGTTTCTTGCTGAAGCACCCGGCCTGCTCAGACTGGGTTTAACCCTTGAAGAACGCTCTCTGGTGTGCAGCCCTTCTGGATGGTCTGGTGTGCTCGCCTCTTCCCTGAGCAATGATTATCCCCAGCTTTTGGGAAGGGATTGAGTTTGCCTTTCAGGTCACAAAGAGTCAGGGTTACCTTTTTATCTGCAGCACTGTTAGCTTCAGGATAATGTAACAAACCTCTACGAAAACTCATGTGCTCCCTTTGGCTACAGTAAAAACTGAAGGCAAAACGTGAGCGTGAGTCTCGCTTATCTGGCAAGCGCAAGTGGGAAGTCTGTGAGACGGCTGGAGGGAGGTATTTTCAGAAGAGCTGATCCCTTCGCTGAAAACAGTATTTTTGTGAGCAGCGCTTCATTTCCCTCAGCAGTGGATTTATTTTGCCGGAGATGCTCTGGCCAGCCAAGGATTTGTGCTCTTCGTTGCCTCTGGGTCCTTGGCTGAAGCGGTTCTGGTGACGCTTTCCTCATCCCCCCTCCCCAGTCTGCAGAACGAGCCGGTCGCTGGCATCGCTGCGGCGCTTCCTCCATTGGTCCCTGCCAAACGTGGAGGGAGGAGCAGCAGCAGCCCCGGGGTCGCTTTGCGCCGCGTCTGTGTCCCAGCCCCTTGTGTCTGCGGAGCTGGCTCTCGTTGAACCTTCTCCGACGCTTTATGCTCTCCCACAAGCACCTGGCCAAGCCTCAGTCGGCCTGAGCTTGTCCTCCAGTCAGCAGGGTCGCTTCCTGGTGGGCAGCAAAGTATCTGCGCCATTGCGGGGGATTTAGGGATCCGGTTCCGCTGTTATTTGAGTAACTCCTTGAGTTGAATATCTCCTTAACTATTTTTTAAACTCAACTCCTCAACTCTTAGTTGAATATCTACTTGAGTAACTATTTTTTTAAACTCAAAATAAGCCATCGGCGGCTTCTGCTTGACTTTCTCTTGCATAATAATAGTTGTGATACTCCTAAATATCAATGGCAGCAACCCTTTAGCGGGAAGAAAACTGAATTACGTGCGAGCAGATTGGATCACACGTTGCCTGAAAGACAATAGTAAATGTAGACTTTTCAAGTTGTGTGGACAAGACAATGAAGAGAACAGTTGTTTTAGTGAAAGGTTTGGCCTTTTATACTTCCTCATCAGGACTGTTTCTTGTTGCAAGGCGCAGAACTCGCAAGGTGAGGTGTCTTTTAAGCCCCCCAGACTCAAAGGGGATGTCGCAGCACTCTGTGGGAGAACGGCTGGAGCTTTTACCCTGGTAGTTGTTGCATCCAATGCGTAGTGTGGGAGAGAGTGCAGTTCAGACCTAGCCTGAGGGCTGCAAGGGATGGCTCTGCTCTAGCTCTGGCCCAGCTTTTTTCAGTAAAGATTTATTAACAGTCATTTACTGCGACTTGCAATTTATAACTTTAGAGGAATTTATCATAAATTTGCAAAATGGTCTGTTTGAAAATTGCAGGTGCTTTCACTGGTCTAAGCCTCTCTGCTTATGAGGTTAATTTGAGAGAATGAATTTAGTCATCCTGGGAAGCAGATTTTCCAGAGGTGTCTTTGGGGGCAGATGGAGTGCGGAGGGGAAATGTTGTTTATTTTTTATAAATTTTATTTATTTGAACCTTTCTGAGAGCTCCCTGGTGTTTGGGTGTGCTCCTGGTGGCGCGGGCAGCCGGTGCGGTGCCTGGCACGCTGCACCTGGCACATTGCTGCTCTGCTGCCGCCGCCGCCGCCTGCTCGCGCGGTTCCTGCCCGTGTGCCCTCGGCCACCCACCGCCACCCCCAAGGGGTGCCGAGGACTGGTGTCCGCCAGGACACAGTTCTCTTTGTATTAGGCGTCACCTACGTTCTTTGGTCCACTGGGGTAAAGCTGCTTTCGGCTATGTTAAAATACAGGATTTGGCTTCCCAGGGGATTCAGGTTGTGCTTTGCAGTCCCCAGGAGTTCCCTCAGCAAGGAATTGTGCTTTTCCGGAGAGCTGATGAAGCTGGGGAATGCAGCCAGAAACAGGCTTTGGGAAACAGTCTTGCTTAAAACATTGCTTCCGAGCTGAAGCTGTTCATAGTCCTGACAACTGTTGTTCCTGCAGCCAGACTTTGGGCATTTATGGGACCCTTCTTAGTCCGTCACAGAGGTGTTACCACTACTTTGGGCAGTTAGCGCTGTGTGGGCACAAGCTGGGTAAAGTACCAGTTCCTTTGCAGCCACGTTCTTCCTGTTCTGGACACACAGTTGGGTTCAGCGTCTGTATCGGGTGGCTGCCGGAGTACTCGCTGTTAGTGACTCGTGTTGGGCGCTGCTCACTCCGCAGCTGTGCACCCAGGGTGCACGGTGCCTGTTCTCCCCTTGCGCTCCTCGCTGCGCTCGAGAACAGTGTTTATCCACAGCTTCTGTTGTCGGAGGTGAATTTGCTTGGCAGTGAAATTACCGCTTTCTTGAGGCGCCTGGGGTTTGGGGATTTTGTTTTAATAAATGCTGCAAGTAGCCTGTAGGCATTAGAGTTTGTGTCTCGTAGCTTCAGGCGCCAGTAATGTTGCTGCATATCCATCCTGGCAGGCGGTGGCAGCCCCCGTGCCAGCGTTTATTAGAGCAGAGCGGCGCTCGAGGCGCCTGTGCCGGGGCTTGGAGCTCCAGACTGGCAGGAACGTTCCCGAAGGCTGCACTGAAAGGCGAGGGCGAAGCAGGAGCAGGAGCCCTGAGGCAAATGAGCCATCCTGCGAGGAGCAAGAGCCTGGAGGTGGTGTGCAGTGGTGGTCAGTACCTTGGTTTAACTGGCCCTGGTCTGGAAGAGCTGGGTTAGAAGAGACATTCGACCCTCTGCTTTTCTGCACTCTGAGCTTGTTAACAATTCTTTGCTTTTGAACGACCTCTGTGAAACCCCTCACCTTCCTGCGCTGATCTCTACCTTGGCTGCCGCCATCTGGAAGCTACATGGAGGTAACGCAGCCTTCGGTTCCTCGCCGAGGAGACCTCCGTTTCAGAGTTTCACTGCCACTGCCGTTCCTCCAGAAACAGTAACCAGTTGACCCTCAGTGTGGTTGCCTCTGCTCTCTGTCTGCAGGACTCTAGGGTGTTTTGGCAGGGTTGGTTCTCTGGATGAAAACAAGCAGCTGTGCTATTCCCATTTATGTCCTGAAAGAACACGGTCCTGTGGGAATAGAGGCAGGAGACTGGCAACATGATGGAGACAAGTGTCTTTATGAAGGTTCCCTCTGCAGAAAGCACCATTCCATTAGACTCTGAGCCATTTAGAGATGAGTCTTTTAACAGCTTTAATCTAATTGTTGGTTTAATAATCTGAATTATTATAACTACAGAATTTGCTGTAATGTGGACAAAATTACTTCATTGTTTCTGAAGCTCAAGTTAGACTGAAACAGAGTCAGCTGGAGGTTTCTTCTCGGTTGTCTCTGCTGAGGTTCTAGTTCTGGGCACCTCCTCTGTTGCGGGGTTTGGATGGAACAGGGCAGGCTGGAGGGAGCGGGAACTGCTCAGCATGGGAAGCTCTGGATAAGCTGTTCAACCATGGCCTTAAGGATGGCAGGGAAGGGGGCAATGAAATGGGAAGATAGGCGCGAACCTGCAGGAGCAGCTCCGTCCCTGCAGCCGTTAGGACAGGGAGAGCAGGCGCCCAGCAGGAGGGCACCTTGCAGGGCACCGCGCTGTCCAGATGCGCGCTGCACTGGCAGATGCCACAGGAGGAAGCTGGCAGCCCATGGGGCTGCAAGAGGGGGTCTGTCTGGTCCAGAGAGCAGCGTGTTCACGTTCTGCCTGTGACAGAGGCCTGTCCTGGAGCGGGGACCCCGTTCCCTGCCCGTGCCTCTGAGGCTGATGTCTCCTTCTGTCTCGGGAGCTCTGCGGCCAGGAGGCTTGGGGAAGGCAGCAGAGATGCTCTGTGCTAAAGTTGGTGCTTTTGTTTCCGTTTCAGGAAAGCCCCACAGCATTGGCAGCTCCGAACGGATTCAGCTCTCAGGAATGTACAACGTTCGGAAAGGGAAAATACACTTGCCAGTCAACAGATGGACGAGACGCCAAGCCATCCTCTGTGGAACGTGTCTGATCGTCTCCTCGGTGAAGGAGAGCCAGACTGGCAAGATGCACGTCCTCCCTTTAATCGGTGGCAAAGTAAGAGCTTGGTTTTAGCTTTGCTTGTGAATGCTGCTTGCTGAATCCCTGTCTCTCTACGCAGAGAAGATTGTGTTCAGTTATCATGTTTTTTTCCCCCCTAAAAAAAAGCTGCTTCTGCAGGTGGCATCATCAGGGCAAATAACTGACTTCTGTTAGTCAGCTTCCTACTTAACTATTTATAAAGTCTGGACTGAAATGTGAAAGAGCAGCACATTGTCTCCTATGGATTGCAGTCTCCCTTTCTTCAGTGCAGTGATAAATATTTTATATGTGCATTCATACACAGCTAAATGCTACATATATCTGTATTGTGTGTGACCTATGGCATGTCTCTTTGCCCCGTTTTTAGCCCTGCTGTGTTGCTCTAAAGATTTGAAAACTGACATAAAAGAAACCCCAAAACTAAAGAATTTCAAGGTCTATTCTGTGAATATCTGTTTTCTGTATTTTTTAAATTTTTATTTTGTGGTTGAGCATTCATCATTGTGAGTAGGGTTCTAATGCAGGTGAAGAGTAGCAAACATTTTTATTTTCAAAAAGCCGAGGCTGGATTATTTCTGTTTAATCACCTCTGTGAAACTTCAGTGAAAACTAACCATTAGCAATTTAGCTTAAGTATGACTTCAGATCACTATAACCAGGTTAGTTGACCACAGTGATGGGGAAAGAATCCATTTTACTCCCTCAGCCTCAGGTTGAATTTACACCTGGAATAATGTTATTTTACTTGGCGTTTTGATAAGCTTTGTACTTAAGAGTCATTTGGAGAGACACAAGCTTTGTAATGCTCTGTTCAGAGCCTGGAGTTTATTCATTAATCATAGCACCGTTATGGTTAGAAAAGACCCTCGAGGTCATCGAGTCCAAGCACAAGCCCCTCAACACCCTGCCTGCTGAACCGTGTCCCTTAGCGCCTCATCTGCACGTTTCTTCAGCACTGCCAGGGATGGAGACTCCACCACTTCCCTGGGCAGCCTGTTCCACTGGAATGAAACCAGTCCCTGCTCCTAGGAGTTTTTTCCATCCATTTCTACAGTTCTTCACATGACTCTTAGTCCTTTTCTGGAGACGCTGAAGTAGAGCCTGTGTCCTCTCTTGTAGCACCTCTGTGCACACTGGCTGTGAATGGTGTTTCTGGCTGCTACGTGTTGGAAGGGCCCTTCTTAGGCCTTCTCTTTAAGATAAAAAAAGACTTTTTTTTTTTTTTTTTTAATAAGGGCGGTGTGCCTTTCCTTAAATGCTTCACATGGACTTTCCAAGTTGCTATTCTGGCACAAAAATGCCTCTGTAATGTAAAACAAGCAGACTGCTAAACTGGAAGTTGACAGCAAATTCCAAAAGAAAGGGAGAACTGAGCTGGGGAAAACCATACTGGGGACTTCTGCTCACAAAGCTGGGCTTGGAGGATGCTTGACCCAGACCTAAGTGCTTTTGCAATTATCGCTCCAAAAGGCTTTCTGGCTGAGCCCCGCAACCGCGCGGCGCCTCCCGCCACTGGCACCGCAAGCTGTGTGGGCCCCAGCACGCCCGGCCGCAGGACTCTGTAGTCTAGGCTGGGCTTTAGCAAGCTGGGAAATGCCAGAGAATTTAATTGGGGTCTATGGGAAGTGTTTTGCTAAGCCTGTTTTTAATAGAGTCGGGAGTAAAAATTATACTCCTTTAGGTCATTTCAAGACAGCTTTAAATGTCTTTCCCTAGGAAACTGGTTATGATTCTTGGTCTCTCTTAAAATGTTGCTGTTCTTGGTGTTTTCTTTCTTCATTAAACTTGGCAGTCTCTTTGGGTCTTGCATATCTTAGCAAAGGGTGAGCAAAAAGAAGACTGCAAATGCCTGGAATAGAAAAAGGAAACACATCCAGAGGGCCTCTAAGCATTGGGAAATAGCAGCAACAGACCTATTTTCTTTTTATTTCAATCTTACCAGCAGCTATCAGCTCAGGATGAAATTCCTGCCAAATGTGTCTCTACCTGCAGCAGAGAAAGGCAGCCTCAGGTTCACTCTGCACGTGAGACATGAGGCCAAGTCACGTGCCTGGGAGGTTTTTCTTCCAGCCATAAAGTCTGTGTCATTTTTAACAGATTTTGTAGCATTCTTGAAAACAGAGGGGAGCAGGCTTAGAAGTTCTGGTAAGCTGCTTTCAGGTGCTCTGCTTCCTTGCTTAGCTAGGCTTGGAGAACATCTGGCACTCGGCTTGAGTATGGAGAGTGATAGTAGCTCTCGTGTTGAGCTCCTTCGGGGCATGTTTTAACTTTGCCCCGTGGGCTTCTGCAGAGAACTGCTGAGTCTTGCTCACTCACTGTCTTGTGCCTTTGCTGCAGGTGGAAGAAGTGAAAAAGCACCAGCACTGTTTAGCATTTAGCTCCTCTGGACCTCAAAGCCAGACCTACTACATCTGCTTCGATAACTTCACCGAGTACTTGCGATGGCTTCGACAAGCGTCCAAGGTGAGAGGAACCCTGAGTCCTGACTTGTTCTGCCCTGCAGTGGCACTGGAGTGATGGGTGGAGTGAGAGCAGGGGAGGAGAGATGGAGGGAAATGTGGCTGTCAACACTGCAGTTTAAAAAGCTTTGTTTCAATGTGAATAAAACCTGAAATAGCATAAGAATGTTTTAGTTAATCTCCTGCACAGAGCCCAAAAACTAGATGGTTAGAATAAGAAATTGTTTTCTGTTGGAAATGTTGCTGAATCTCTCATTAGTTTCATAACTGATTCTTTTTATCCCATCATTTGTATTAATTGGTGAAGTGTTCCTAAACTAAATTTTATACTCTATTTAAGGCTGTTTACAGCTTTAACTGTACTGTTTACAGCTGCTCTGTGTTTACAAGGAGAACTTACGTCCTCCGTTACGTTCATTTGACTTTTCAGTCTCATTTTATGTTGTTTAAAGGTTTTCTGCACTTATCTCTTCCATTTTAATCCTTGCTACCTTTCATGATAATTTTTCCTGAGTCATCTCATGTATCTTGAACCACTGACTTGTTTTATTTCACTACAAAACTTGTGTTGTGCGGGAAGCGCTGCCTCCAGAGGCTTTGACACTGGCTGAATAAAGAGCAATCGAACGCGTGAGGCAAACAGTGTGAAACAATGCACTTCACAAGGGGACACAAATGGTCAGAAAGTGCCCCTGAATGCCTGGCAGAGCGGGGAGGTTCTGTGCCACGCTGTGCTTCTCTCCTTGCTGCTTCCCCCGAATGACAACAGCGCTGGGAAGAGAGCCAGCGTGAGAACTTGGCCCCGTGTAGCCGTGGGGGCTTCCGTGTTGCTTAGGTACGAGCAGAAAGGAACTATGCAGTTTAAACTGCATTTTCAGACCCTCATGACTGAGGAAACTTGCTATGCTTGGTATTTTTGGTAAAATATATGTCATGGAAGAAACGATGCCTAGTTTTCCCCATCTTTCCCCTCGTGTTCATTCCTATAGTACAAAAATTGAGGTTAAGCATTATGGGTTCATGGCTCTTGAGGAGGGCACGCTGCCGTTTCAGGCTGCTTTTTGAGTGTTTGTTTTCTATCCTCAGACTGGAAACCAGACACGGGCAGGACTGGGTGCAAGGCAGCTGTGTACTGCTGGGCAGTACCACTGGTTTTAGAGACTAGAAAGAGAGGAAATGCTGCCGTAGCTCCAGTTTCCTCCAGCGGTCGCTCGCCTTGTGCGAGTGCTTAAATGTGAGCTGGATTGCTCACCGTGAACCTATACGAGTGAGGGGGAGAAAGTCTCAGGATCAACACAGGAGCTCAGATGGAGCTCCTGTGCAGGAAAGGAACAACACTTGTTGTGGAAGAACTTGCCTCAGGTTTGGCCAACTGGGACACTACTCCAATGCCCCAAGCAGGTGAAATACTCTTGTTAGCCAAGCAAATACTCTATGAGGCTTTGTAGCCTTGATAGCAAATTGAGGACAGAAGGCATTACAGCTCTTCCACTCTGACCTTTGTCTTGGTCATCTGTTCCCTTAAGGACTGATTGGTTTACATGTGTAATGATGGTAGGTTGTATAATGCTGCAGCTTTCTGAATTATCATGAATAGCAGCTAAATTTTTCTAAACTGAGTTATGCAACAGCATTTGTTTTGAGGCATCCACGCTAACTCGGTCGTGGCCAGTGCTCGTTTTGTTTCTGCAGTTCTAGGTGCTCTTGGCCTAGGCTCCTGAAAACTGGTTACTGCTACTTACCTAGGCCAGGAGGAGAGCACCGGTGAAATATTTCATTAAAATTTCTCACTTCAGTTTTCAACCGAAAATTTTGTTGTGTCTGTCTTGTGTATGTTTCAAAAGAGCTAGAAGATGATGTTATTCCAGCTTTAAGTAGCGAGCTTAATCTTGAAAGGAGACTTTGCAGAGAATGCTCGCTCTGCACTCCTTCTCCCCACAGGATAATGGCAATGACAACTTCTTCAGCAGTGTTCCAGAATGAGATGAATCCCAATGCATCATCTCTACAATAAATAAAAGTAAGCTAGGGAGAAGATTTTAATTCATGTTTGCAAGGGCTTGGGCTCAATTTAATTAAAATGGAGATCTCTCGTATAATCTGATTCATTCTAACAGTCGAGTATGTCCTGGGCAAGGCAGCTGTCAGGCACTGCCCTCACGGGTTTGTTGGGAGGGGGGTGAGTAGGTTTTGGGTGGTTTTCTTGTGTTTCTCTATGTGCCTTGAGATGTCCAGCCGTCCTCAGGACTGACTGGAATTGTTGCACAAATGGTGACCTAGATATCGAACTTGCTGGTGACATACTTAGTTCAAATAGGTCACTTTTAGATATGCTGATTTAGCCTCAAAGAGAATATTTTTAAAAGCTGGAGATGTGGCTTCTTCGTTAATATTGATAGTTTGCTACAGCACCACGCTTTTTTGTTGTTGTTGTTGTTGTTGTTATTTTTTCCCCTTTAATTTTGAAATCCTGGAGACCTAATTAAGGCGACTCGAAAGAAGAGCAGCAGCAGCAACAACAACAAACTTGGTCCTTTGTGATCTAATGCGCTGGGTCTCCTGCCAGACACTGCCAATCAGCTCATGCAGCTGGGGAGAGGGGCAGCGAAAGGGAGGCCCTTGGGCAAAGGGCAAAGGGTTTTGCCTGCCTGAAGGTGCCCTGGGGGTGCTGGGGCCCACACAGCCCCTCACAGCTGGAGCAGCTGCTGCAGGGGGGCATTTGAGAGAAGCAACAGTTCTCTACCCCTTTAGTGAAGAAGAGGGGGGTTATGTATAGAATGTCCCCCTTGCTGGCAATACCTGTACTTGAAGGCATACGGCTAAAAGGACCATTTATACTTGTGTCAGAGATTGAAGGGTGCATTGCTTAAATGGGGCCGTGTTACAGGAATTTATCTTCTTGGAAATAGAGCAGGTGTCCCTGGGTATCTTGAGATGGGTTGCTAGACCCCACGGCTGGTTTGGAAGAGCAGGAGCTGCCCTGAGGGCTTGTTGCAATGACCATGTCCTGCATGAGTGTGCCCAGTTCAGTGGGGCGGGTAGAGAGAGGTGATGAGATCCAGGGACTAAATAATGCATGGCTGCCCTGTGTGGGCTCTGTGCTTGCCCAGCACGTGCAGGTGGGTCTGGATGTGCAGCTGTACCCCTCGGCGTGTGTACACACTTATGCACATACACACTGAGGTATAAACACACATCGGGAAAGAACTAGGCCCCTGTTCTTCATGCAACGCTTCCCAGACTGAATTGTGTAGCTGTTAACTGCAGCAATAGCATGTTTAGATGGGGGCAGGAAAAACAGCTATGTGGGGCTTGAAGAGCTGGGTGTGTTCATACCTGTGCACAAAACTAGAATCTTCCTGCATAAAATAGGGGGAATTTCTAAAAGTGACCTGTGGTGGAGAACCTACCAGAGTTTCCTTCCCTGCTCCAGGCACCTTTGCCTTGAGGTCTGCGGAAGAGGAGGAGTGTACAGTGTTGTGGGTAGTCGTAGCCTGCTACTAAAAAGGACAAATCGGGATGTGAATGTCGGAATGATTGGAATGAAGGAACATTTTTGTTTACAAGGGGCTGCAAATAAGAGCGTCATTTTCAAGACTTGTGACCATGCTGCTCTGTTGGGTTTATTCCTTCCTCGTTAGAGCAGAGCCCTTAGTTTATAGCTGCTTGCAACATTGAACTTGTGGAAAATAACTAGTTTATACTGTACAATTAAGTGGTGCCTGAGCATCTGCCACAGTATGCTCCATCTTCCTTGCATTTGTATACAGACCTGTGGCAAGCAGCAATATTGAGCTAACTTCTCAGAGCTTCGTGGTTCTGAGGCCAACCCGATCCCTTTTCCAGCTGTCTTTTCAATACAGAGTTTCAGGGTGGTGTTTGGAGAATATGCTGCGTAGTCTGCCTCTGAAGAGTGCAAAGAGGAGGAAAGTGATTCTTGCCTCCAATAATCAGGGTTTATTTCTACTGAGGAAAAATGACCTGGGTTCTGCCTGAGCATTTGTGAGGATAACTCAGTCTTTATTCTGCATGTTCCTGCTAGGCGCGGACAGCCAGCTGAAGGGCTCAGCTGCACATTCAGCCTTCAGAGAGGAAAGCTTTGGCTTTGCAGAGCTGTTTGGGATCAAACCTCGGGCTAAGGAAGCTCCAAACCCCTGTCTTGTGGCTAACGAGCCCTCGTTGCCCCCTGCCTCGCCTTGCCCGCTGCCCCCCGGCCTGGCTCTGTGCCTGTTTGAGGGGGGATCCTGTGCCCAGCCGCGCTGCCGCCATGGGAGTCGGGGTGCCAGGGAACCTGCTGAGCACCCCACAGCTTCCCCCGGAGGAGCACGGGACTGCAGGGCTGCACTAACGGGTGCTGGTCCCAACAAGCTCCGAATGCGGCTTCCTCTCATGCCCCCTCTCTCCTAAAGCCTTGCTCAGCAGCGCTGAGCTATTGGTAAGGGAGGGAAAAACATACACAAATAAACTCTCTTTTTTTCTGAGCTGTTATTTATTAAAAGGCCTTTCTGATATCTTCTTAGGGTCACTAGATGCTTTATCTTCTCTTCTGGTTTCAGTTCAGTCTCCTAAGCAATGTCTATCTCTTTTCTGGAGGGAAAACTTAGAAAACTTTACCTTAATTTCCATTGGATCTAAATTAATAGTCATTTTTTTTTTTCTGGCTTTTACCTTAAGTTGTAACTGAGTGTCAGAAATTCTATGGGAAACTCGTGCCGTGACTAATTCCTGATGTTTCCTCAGAACTTGCAGTCTTATTCTGCACAATTAAACTCCGTGTGAGTGTTGGGACTGGGTGGGAGGTCAGGGAAGTGCTGGCCTTGGAAAGGGTGACCATGCCCTAGCTGGTCTGGATCCTGCATTGCTGGTGCTTGGAGCCTTGGAGGTGAGTCCAGGTCCTAGCTCAGCCTAGAAGACAGTGTAGTATAATGCTAGCAGGGGTGACATCCTTGGAAAATAGCTTTAATCTAATCTAAGACATTACAAAGTCCTTGCTTTCTTTGAGAA